CATACTAGTCATGGTGTTTAAAAAAAAACTAACAATAAACATAATAAGCTAAAATAGCCACCGCCTACTTTTNTTCCCCCCCCACCCCCCCCCCCCCCCCCCCCTTTCTGCCTACATCAAGTAGCAGGCATATAAAGCTGAAGAGACATGTCTAGTTGTAGATGGGGCTCATCCTTTCTTCCGTGATTGGCCTTTCTTCTTAAAAAGAAAATTTCCCACACTTGGGTTCACTTTAGGAGGCGGAAAATATGGAGACTTTTCTTTGTCCTGCATCTTTTTGGTATTGCATGTCTCATGTGAATGGCTACCAAGGAGGAGCCTGTTAGATATTAGAAATGCTTTTATTAAGATCTTCTTGGAGACCATGAATTGTTATAAATGTTTGATGTACTCTATTTGCTCTGCAGCCTTAGTGATATTGATATTGGTAGCGTTTCAAAAATAGTGTCTTATTGCTAACTAATTCAATCCTCCTTACCTGTGGACTTAATTTACATTTTCCATCTTCCTCACAGTACGATTCTCCAACTGGATCAGTTACATTTTTCACTTTTAGTGAAAGACTGGAATATTAAGACCATAACAAATTGCCTCACTGTTTTCATTTTCTTCTAGATTTCCGATTCTTGTAAAATGAGTACCTTAAATATTTATTGACTAGTGATTGGTTTATAAGTTAATGATTCAGAAATATCTGAATGATAGTTGTCCGACACATCACTCTATGATAGTGATCTGTTTAGCTCTTCTTATAAATGTACTTATTAATTTGTTTTTAATCGTCTCATGGCATCACCAATTCACTTTTGTCAGTCTTTTCATATAGTTATGTAACGTTATTTGTAAAAGCATTTGCGAGTGAATAATGCGACTTCTCTTTCTTAACCTTGTTGCTTTTACGTCTGCAGATGTAATAATGTTCTCTATCTTCGTGGTGTACCTGAGGATGAAGAATTGGAAGATGCTGATCGCGACTAGAAACTATGTTGTATTGGTAATGTCATCGTTCTTCCAATGTAACCCGATTTCTGGTTCATTGATCGTGATGTAACAACATATTTGTCTCCTTGTATGTATTATCAATGATGTGATAAACTTTCCTAGATTTCTATCTAATGTATGCTGATGGATAGTTGAGGAAGAGGTTGGGGTGACCTTACTGTTTTACTGGAGCAAAATGAACCAAATATATAGCTTGACAGCCATATGATCTTCAGATTATTTTTGTATATTGGTTTATGTTTAGCAAGAATAGAACAAATTGATTGGGAGACATGGCATTTTTGTATATTGGTTTATGTTTGTTCTGATATTTTTTTGGATGCTATAGTGAAGTGCAATTATAGAGGACATATATTATAACATATCATAAAAATTCGTTCCGAGAAAAACTTAACTTTTATAGTGAATGCTTGTTATATATGGATGTTATAGAGAGATCTGTATGTATAAAGCACAGCCTGGCCAACACAGCCTACTGTAATCAGTTGAGGAAAAAAATCAAAATGACAAAATCAGACCAATTAAGTAAAACCTAAATAAGGTATTTGGATTTTGGAACAATTAGATTGAGCAATTTATTATGTAGAAACGAATAAACATTACAGAATCAGGAAATTTCATAACCTAGATTAAATTGCATGATATATGAGATATTCAATCTCAGCAATAATCTCACCTAATTAAGGTCAATATCATCCTTTCCAAATAGAGAATATTTGATATATATTGCCTAAAGAAATTCAATTTACCTTTTCAGAAGCTCAATCTCTTATCTGACTCTGTAATCTTCTCCATTACATTTTAAAATCTCCTATATACAATTATATCATTTGAGATACAGTTACCTAATCAAATGGACTCATCTCTCAAACTATAAATTCCACTCTTTGCTATGACAATTCATATCATCAATTTCTCTAAGTCACTAACGCCATGACGAAGAAAACTTTCTTTTCGAATCTTATTTCCTTCTCCTTTTGCATTTTTCTATTGTTCGGCTATTCTTTCGCGAAAACTAAAGTTGAAAGCACAGGTACCGAAAAACCTCACGTGACAAAAAGTACAACTGTTCATCGGCCGCGACGCGTTTTTCCATTCGCGCCACCGCCACCAATACCTGATAGTGGTAATCATCCTTCAAAATTTCCACTTACATGGCCATTTACTTTCCCACCGTCGCCTGGTTTTAAATTTCCACCAATTCCTCCATTTGCTTTTCCACCATCGCCTGGTTTTAAGTTTCCACCAATTCCTCCATTTGCGTTTCCACCAATTCCTCCATTTGCGTTTCCACCATTGCCTGGTTTTAAATTTCCTCCAATATTTCCTCCATTCCCTGGAACCCCTCCTAATGATGGTGCCAAAGGTGATGGTAGTAATAAGAAGAATTGAATTGTATTAGAATTGGTTTTAATTATTGAGATTAATAAGAAGGAAGTTAATATTTAGTTTTATCTTTTTTGGTGCAATTAGAACTTCAAATTAAGACTTTGAACTATATTTCCTCTCTATCGGAAGAATTGGTTTTGTAGTCCTTTACCAATTTATTAATAGTTTTATGCCTTTTTTACAAGAGATTTTCGTTTTTACATATAAGAGATATGAAAATAACATAGTAACACATCTTCTATTCAAATTATAAATAGCCGCAAGAGATCATTTCCTCTATCACTAATGTGGTCTACCTTTTTTTATTTATTTATTTATTTTTTATTTTTTTAAATTTCAGTTTCGTAATGCACTTTATGTATTTCATTTCAATTTTTCGCAACAGATACACTACAAGAAATGAGACTTGTCGACACAAAAAATGGAAAATTTGCCCCAAAAAAATACAAAAAAATTCTCATCCCCCTCCCCAGGTGTTAGTGGCCATGGATTTCTAGACATTTGGTTTCATATATCAAATGCCTAAAAACATATATCAAGCCCCGGGTATAAATTCGCTTTTATTAGAGAACGCTTTACCTCTAATTTGGGTTTTTCCGGTGCGAATGTGTAATCTGCTACTGTGTTAAAACACAAAATCAAAAAAAACTGTTAGAAGAATAAAAGAAACTGGAAAACAGTAAAGAATAAGAAATATTCCGAGTCCACAATTTGCTTGTGCGTCCTTAAGGAATTTTAACCCCCTCACACGTTGCCAAGGTAATGGATTAAATCCTCCCAGGATGAAATGGAATAAACCTTCCTGCAACAGTGGCAATACAAACTGCAGGATACCAACGAACTAAAAAAACGGAGCAAAATCACACTTACGAATTTGAGAGAGAGAGACTGCGAATTAGAATGCAGTATTTTCAGAAAGAAGGAAGTTTTGTAATTTTTTTTTTCAGTGTGTTAAAAACGAAGTCATGCCTCAGAATTTATAGACAATTATTGGAAGAGGTGTGATGTTTGTTCTGGAAAAGGTGTCTGTTCAAAAGTTTGCGCGTCCTGCCGCGGTTACGCCAGGACCGCGGCCAGAGTGGCCTTCTGAATTTTGTCCAAAAATAATCTTATCGATCGATCATTTGACAACCAAACCCAAACCCAAAGCCGAAGCCGAGCCGAGCGAGCGACGACGACGGCGCGAGGGTTCATTCTCTTCAACTCCTTTTAAGAGCTTTAAGAAGTGATTCTATATATATACACACAAATGTAGTTGTCCCTCACCAATGAGGGACAAAGTTCAAGACAAAAGCTCACTTCATTCAAATTTTCATTTTCCTCCATTTTATTTCCCACCATTTCCAATTCACACTCTTAGACTTTAAAGCCCAATGCTTAAAGTCTATGAAGCCCAATGCTTTAAAGTCCAACAATCCCCCGCATGAATGGGAATGGCTGTAACAAGAATGATCATAGATGAAAGCTGTGTGATTTGCAAGTAAGGATTAATTGCATCTGGATAAGTAGGTTTCCCTTTGAACTTTCCGTAGTGAACATATGTCGGATATACTCGGTCAATCGGTAGATTTGATATCTTTGAACCGTCGAGCTTTAGTGTATACCTAGACAACCATATGTCACACAACCAATCCTTAACTGTCTTTTGGTTCTCATTGTTGTGTTCGTTTCAGCCATGAACACCGCCTGGTTTCATAAGTGCGTAAAGAATTGGCCTTACAGAATTTTCATTGAAGCGGCTTCCACTTCACACTTACATAGGTGATTCCTAAACGTGTAATCCTTTAGATTGACACTATTTGATAAATACCACATCAAACTTAGGTAATCATTAAAGAACGTGTAAAGTTCTATCCTTGTTACTGAACATTGTCTTCATCACGAGAAGGGACCAAAGATTTTACTTTGACAATGTTGAACTGGTCAATCACAACTTTGTTTGAGCTCCTTGAACCTAGATCTCGGAACATCCAAAATTCTAGGTAGAGTTACCGTCATGTTGACTTGTCCTCGGCCATAGTCCCATTCCCTTAGATGATTTCTCAACTCCCTCTCTAGTTAAGCCTTTTGTAAGCGGATCCGCCACATTATCCTTTGATCTTACATAATCAATAGTGATAATTCCACTAGAAAGTAGTTGTCTAATGGTGTTATGTCTTCGTCGTATATGACGAGACTTTCCGTTATACATAACGCTCCCTGCCCGTCCTATTGCAGCCTCACTATCGCAATGTATGAAAATAGGAGCCAAAGGTTTTGGCCAGAACGGAATGTCTTCTAAAAAATTCCGAAGCCATTCAGCTTCTTCACCGGCTTTATCCAAAGCTATAAACTCTGATTCCATTGTAGAGCGAGCGATGCACGTTTATTTGGAAGACTTCCAAGATACTGCTCCTCCACCAACAGTAAAAACATATCCACTTGTGGACTTTGTTTCTGTTGAGCCGGTTATCCAATTTGCATCACTATATCCTTCGATAACCGCAGGATATTTATTGTAGTGCAAAGCGTAGTCTTGGGTATATTCCAAATATCCCAGAACTCGTTTCATTGCCACCCAGTGATGTTTGTTTGGATTACTTGTGAATCGACTAAGTTTACTATTGCACAAGCTATATCAGGTCGTGTACAGTTCATGATGTACATTAAGCTTCCCAACACACGAGCATACTCCAATTGAGATGTACTTTCACCTTTATTCTTTATAAGATGATGATTTAAGTCAATTGAAGTTCTTGCACTTCTAAATTCCAAGTTGAATTTTTCAAGTACCATTTTCACGTAATGTGATTGAGACAAAGCTAGACCCTGAGGAGTCCTCTGGATTTTAATTCCTAGAATTACATCGGCAACTCCTAAGTCTTTCATATCAAACTTACTAGCAAGCATGCGCTTAGTAGCTTGAATGTCGGCAATGTCTTTGCTCATTATTAGCATATCATCAACATATAAGCAAACAATGACTATATGATTTGGAACGTTCTTAATGTAAACACATTTATCACATTCATTAATCTTAAAACCATTTGACAACATTGTTTGGTCAAATTTCGCATGCCATTGTTTGGGTGCTTGTTTTAGTCCATAAAGAGACTTAACAAGTCTATACACCTTCTTTTCTTTTACCGGAACCAGAAACCCTTCAGGTTAGTCCATGTAGATTTCTTCCTCTAAATCACCATTTAAGAAGGCTGTTTTTACATCCATTTGATGGATTTGAAGACCATACAAGGCGGCTAACGCTATTAGCATCCGAATGGATGTAAGTCTTGTTACCGGCGAGTATGTGTCAAAATAGTCAAGACCTTCTCGCTGTCTAAATCCTTTGACAACAAGTCTTGCCTTGTATTTGTCAATAGTACCATCGTCTTTCATTTTCTTCTTGAAAATCCATTTAGAACCCAATGTCTTGTTACCTGGAGGAAGATCAACCAATTCCCAGGTATGGTTGCTCAATATGGATTCTATTTCACTATTGACAGCTTCTTTCCAATATTGTGCTTCTGAGGAAGACATTGCTTCCTTGAAGGTACGAGGCTCATTTTCTAGCAGGAAAGTCAGAAAATTTGGACCGAATGAAGTAGATGTCCGTTGACGTTTACTTCTTCTCGGATTTTCCTCATTAGGCATACCATCTGTTATTTCCTCCCGAGGTCGTTTTGACTTGTGGTAGGTCACTTCACTTTCCTTTTTATACGGATAAATAGTTTCAAAGAATTCAGCATTATCTGATTCTATTATCGTATTAACGTGAATCTCAGGATTTTCTGACTTATGAACCAGAAAACCATATGCCTTGCTATTGGTTACATATCCAATAAATACACAATCAACCGTTTTTGGACCTATCTTAACCCTTTTAGGTTTAGGAACTTGTACCTTAGCTAAACACCCCCACACTTTGAAGTATTTCAAGCTGGGCTTCCTTCCTTTCCATTTTTCATAGGGAATGGACTGTGTTTTACTATGAGGTATACAGTTGATTATTCGGTTAGCTGTAAGTATAGCTTCCCCCCACAAGTTCTGTGGTAAACCTGAACTTATCAACAACGCATTCATCATCTCTTTCAACGTTCGATTCTTCCTCTCCGCAATTCCATTAGATTGTGGAGAGTAAGGGGCAGTTGTTTGGTGAATAATGCCATTTTCCAAACATACTTCTTCAAAAGGAGATTCATATTCTCCACCCCTATCACTTCTTATCATTTTGATCTTTTTGTTTAGTTGTGTTTCAACTTCACTCTTGTATTGCTTGAAAGCATCAATTGCCTCATCTTTACTATTAAGTAAATAAACATAGCAATATCTTGTGTTATCGTCAATAAAAGTAATAAAATACCTTTTCCCACCGCGAGATGGTGTTGACTTCATGTCGCAAATATCTGTGTGAATTAAGTCTAAAGGACTTGAATTCCTTTCAACGGACTTATAAGGATGCTTAGCATACTTTGATTCCACACATATTTGACATTTGGAATTAATGCAATCAAATTTTGGCAATACTTCTAAATTTATCATTTTTCGCAATGTTTTGAAGTTGACGTGACCTAAGCGTGAATGCCATAAAGTGTTTGACTCAAGTAAGTAAGAAGAAGCATTAACTTTATTGATAGGAACTGCTATTACATTTAGCTTAAAAAGGCCCTCATTCAGGTAACCTTTTCCTACATACATATCATTCTTACTTAGTACAACACTATTAGAAACAAAAATACATTTGAATCCATTCTTGACAAGAAGTGAGGTAGACACAAGATTCTTGCGAATTTCTGGAACATGGAGAACTTGGTTTAGAGTCACTATTTTTCCCGACGTCATCTTCAACGCAATCTTGCCAACTCCTTCAATTTTGGCTGTAGACGAATTTCCCATGAAAATTGTCTCGTCGGGTCCTGCGGGGGCATAAGAAGAAAATAACTCCTTGTTAGCACAAACATGGTGGGTGGCTCCAGAATCTATCCACCATTCTTTAGGATTTCCTGCCAAGTTGCATTCAGACAACA